GGGCCTGTGGAGGCAGGGCGGGGCCTGCAGGGGCTGGGTTGGGGCTGAGGAAGGGCCTGTAGGGGCTGGGGCGGGGCTGAGGCAGGGCCTGTAGGGGCAGGGCCTGTAGGGGCAGGGCGGGGCCTGCAGGGGCTGGGGTGGGGCTGAGGCAGGGCCTGTAGGGGCAGGGCGGGGCCTGCAGGGGCTGGGGTGGGGCTGAGGCGGGGCCTGTAGGGCTGGGTGGGGATGAGGTGGGACCTGTAGGAGCAGGGCAAGGCAGGACAGGGCAGGGTAGGGCAGGGCCTGCAGAGGCCACTTGGAGTTCAGGGCTCTCACCCTCTCCCTAGGCAGTAGTCTCAGCTGGGTCCCAGCCCGTTGCTCAGGTGGGAGTTGCCCTTGGTCCCAGGGCCGGGGAGAGGCAGCCCCTCAGTCAGTCCCCTGCTCTCCCGCCAGTATGCCTCAGCTGCAGCACTGGGGCCCCCCGGGTCCATCCTTGTTGACACCCCCCCACCCCCCATCCCACTCGCCCCTCCTGCAGGAGAACAAGGACCGGAAGGAGCAGGCGGCCAAGGCAGAGAGGAGGAAGAAGCAGCTGGCTGAGGCTGAGGCTCAGAGGCCTCGGGGCGAGGATGGGAAGCCTGGTGAGTAGGAGGTGGGGCTTGGGGCAGAAACAGGCCTGTGTGGGGGCTGTCTGCTTGGTGGGCCAGACCAGCTTTCTCTCTCTCACAGTGTCACCCCAGCCCCACCTTCTTCCAGCTCCACCCCAGTCCTCACTGTGCCCCTTCCAAGGTTCCTTCCGGGGACCACGAGGGGCATGGGTCTTGTTCCCTCTTCAGTCAGGAGGGGCGCAGGTCCGCAGGAGGAGGTGTGTGTCATCGATGCTCTGCTGGCTGACATCAGGAAAGGATTCCAGCTCCGGAAGACAGCCCGTGGCCGGCCGGACGGGGAGGGGAGTGGCAGGGCTGCAGCAGACCCCCCAAGGGACTGGGAGCCTGGTGAGACCACCACCTGTGTCCTCGTCTCTGTTATCAGCACCGTTGTTGGCCCAGCACCTCCCCTGGCTCCAGGGAGCCCTCCCAGAACACACCTCCTTTTCCTGCCATGAAATTCAGGCTCCAGCAGAGATGCTGCTCACGTGTGCGTGGGGCCAGAGGGCTGACTGCTGAGGAGGAGAGGGGCGTGTTGGCTGTTCTGGGGAGACCCGGAAGCTCAGGAGGGGGCCCGCAGGTCCTGGCTGTCAAGGCCTGGTCCTGTCTTACGGGAACACACACTCAGGGCCACGAGGACCTGAGATAGGGCAGCCTGGAGGAGTCACATGAGTCTGAGCAGCCAGCCAGAGGGCTTCCTGGAGGAGGGGGCTCTGTGGGGTTGGTAGAAACCAAGACAGAGCCTGCCTCCCAGCTAGGCACCCCTGCTGGGATGGCCAAGGGCAGTTGGTAGAGTGGGCACTGGGCCCCTGCCCTCCACTGACTCACTTTTTCATCAACAGGGGCCACCAGTAAGCCCATGGGAGGCCCCAGCCACCACCCCTCAGAGCCAGGCCTTGCTTCTGCAGTGGTCACCGGGCCCCGGGACTGGGACCTTGTGGATGCCACCCCACCCCATCCACGGCCATCTGGGGACCAGCCGGAGGCTGGCAGCCCTGAGCCCCCAGGTCGACGTTCATCTTTGTACACGGATGCCACCGATTCCTTGGCCACAGAGGACCCTCAGAGCCCCGAGCCCTCAACGGGGCCCTGGCCAGTGGTGCTGGGGGACACTCAGGCCCTGAAACCCCTCAAGTTCTCCAGCGACAAGCCTCCCAATGCCACAGGTTCAGGCCAAGTGATTTCGGCCCCCACAGCCCTGCAGGGCCCCTTCCAGGCTGAGGCCGACAGCACCAGCCAGGGGTTAGGGGATGCCCACACTCTCACCCCCAGCACCAGCCTCCCAGCCACAAGCCCCAGCCAGGGAGGGGACGAGGAGGACGTGGCCCCAGAGTCTGCACTGGACACATCTCTGGACAAGTCTTTCTCTGAAGAGGTCATGACTGACTCATCAGGGTCCGGCAGCCTGCCAAGGGCCCGTGCCCGGAGCACCAAGGGAAGTGGCAGGAGAAGGAAGAAGCGCTTTTCAAAGAGTCAGGAAGGTAATGAAGCCCCCCCCCCCCAGAGTAAAGGGCCGGGCGGGTACGTCACCCGGGCTGGGTGCCCACCAGGACCCTGCCTTCTGGCCAGCAGTCAGCTCCCACCCCTCCCCCCAGGGCTGCTGGGTGACAGATGGGTGACTCAGAGAGGAGGCAGCAGTGTTCCTCTGTCCCTCACCCGCTTGTTCCCACCCTCACTGGGGGAGCAGCAGGTGGGCCTCTGGGCAGCAGGTCTGTGGGCCGCACAGCTGCATTTTTACCCGGCGTCCCTGTGAGGAGGCCAGGGCTGCCCATGGGCAGCCGATGAGCGCGTTTCTCTCGTTTGAAAGCAGAGAGTGGCCCTGATTCTGACGATAATAGAACAGAGAGGTTCTGTGTACTGCACTGAGGTACGTACGCAGCCTGGGGTCTGTGTGCACGGAAGGGTGGTGACAGAGGTGTTGCAGCTAGCCCCTCCTGGACACTAACCTGGCTTCTGTCCCGCCCGCCTGGACGAGTTTACAGACGTCCCTGGCTCTGCTTCAGTGGCTGGTGACGGGACCCTCCTCCCCCTGCCTCTCTTCCCCAGAAAGGTCCCGGGAATCAAACCTCATTTATCCAATCTCTTCTCTGTAGCAAAAGGCAACCTCAGAGCTGACCAGCCAGGTCGATGGGCCTGGGGGCTGGCAGGCAGGGCCAGGGTGGATGTTGGCTACAGGTCCTCCAAGGGCACAGTGGGGCCTTTGGGGTAGCCCGTCCTCAGCCGGCAGGACAGGCTGAGGTTGCCCATTGTGTGTTGTCTGCAGCCCTAACCACATGTGGTCTGGCTAACCTTGCAGCTTTACTGACTTTTGCTTCTGGGGGCAGACACGTCCTGGGTCCTATCCCAGGTCTTTACTCTGGTGCAGGTCCTCGGGGATGTGAGGGACAGGGAGGGCCCTGAGGTCAGATACCGACAAAGACCTACAGGCCACAGCCCCTCTGAGGGCTGAGACAGGTCTCCTCTCCTAGAGGCAGGGCCTGGGATGGTGAAGGGTCTGTTTAGGTAAAGGCCCCCATGAATAGCACCAGGTGGCTGGGACCCCTGCCTGTGGGCAGGGCAGTCGGGGCTCCCTGGCTTGGACCAGAGACCCTCACGGGCTCAGCCACCTGCCTAGCCTATGCACAAGGGGATCTGCCCACCCAGTTCCAGGAGCCCCTCCCACCAGAGGCCTGGTGGCAGTGGCACAAGGGAGCATCTGTGGCCACCCGTGCCACCTGTGCTAGGCCAGCCTCACCCTCGGCCGCAGGTTCTGTCCAGAGCGGGAGACCCAGCACATGCCGTCTAGAGAGGGCTGATGTCTTCTTTAGGGGCCAGGCTTGGCCCAGCAGCCCCAGGCTTGTCAGGGTGGGCTTGCAGTCTGGAGACAGGCATCCATGGTCGTGCCCGTTACGTGGGGAGACAGATCTGTGCAGCACCGTTTTGTGCTGATGGAGTTAGCACGGCCTCCAGTCTGCAGCTGGCCCCCTGTCCCCACCCCTTCCTGGCTGGGCCATCCTAGGTGGCTGAGCGCAGGAGGAAGGAATCCTGGGCCACTCCCCCCTCTGTTCTCTGACTGTTTGTTTGGAACATTTCAACCCAGTCGGGAATTTGCAGGTTTATGGGGAGCCCCAGCTGCCCTCTGCCTCACTCACTCAGTGAGCGATGCCAGCCAGTTCTAGTCTGACCCACGTGGGGCTGCCGACTCTGAATCCTCTCCAGGACACCTGGTTTCGTTTGATCCCCTAGAAACAAGGTGGTTCTCCTGGGTGACCTTGGCAGTAAGCAGAGCAGGAGGCTTCCCACCGGTGACACGCCTTCTCACACATGTCCGGCTCGTGTCCCTGGCTATCTCGGGGCTACCTCTAATGATGGCTGTGTTTGTGATCCAGGATCACATGCAGCCGTTGGCTGTCACGTCTCACTGGTCTCCCTTGTTCTAGACAGTCCTCAGCCTTTTTTTGTTTTTGTGGCACAGACCTTTATTTTTCCCTGAATCTTTTTCCAGTTGTTGGTGGAAATATACGCAGCAGAACGTGCCCTGAGTCAGAAGTATCTCTGGGCAGTTGAGTGCCATGGACCTCACTGTTGTCACTGTCCCCTTCTGTCCACACACACTTCTTATCTCACTTCTCAAGCTGAGGTTACCATATGAGCACACGGATAGTTCTTTAGGAACTCCGGTAGCACAGTGATTAAAGCATTCAGCTGCCAGCCAAAAAGTCAGCAGTTCGAACCCACCCGCTGCTCTGTGGGAGAAAGATGAGATAGTCTGCTCCCATAGAGACAGACAGCCGGGACCCCCTGTACCAAAACTGAAACTCACTGCCATTGAACTGATTCCGACTCACAGTGAGCCCCATTGGGTTTCTGAGGCTTCAGAGTAGATGGCCCCGTTTTCCTTCCCCAGAGCAGCTGGTGGGTTTGAACTGCTGACCTGGTTAGCAGCAAAGTGCCTTGTCTACTACACCCCCAGAACTCCTCAGACACCCTGTAGGGCATGTCTGGTTCCCTAGTGCCACTCTGACAAGTTGTTGTTGTTGTTGTTATGTGCCGTCGAGAGTACACCATAAATGGGATGGCCTTAGCAAACAGTTTATTCTCTTACCGTTCGGGAGGCTGGAAGTCCGAGTTCAAAGTGCCAGGCTCTAGGGGCTGGGTGAAAGCCCCTCGACCTTGGGCTTCAGCTCTGCCTCTTGCTCCCGGCCCACTGAAGCTGGAGGCGTCTCTTCACTCAGGCAGCTACCAGCTGCTGAGGCTGACAAGCTCAAGGTTGACAAATAAAATGGCACAGTCCCGATGTTACCAAACAACATGGCAAGGCATTGATTCAAGTCCATTGAAAGTCCCAAGGTCAGCAGAGCATGGCAGACTGCTGAATAACGTGGCTACATGCAGGGTTCAAGCGTGCCATAAGCTAGAGACCATTCCCAAAACTTGTTTCTTATACACGGGAAGGAGACCACATACCCAAAAGCAGCTACTCAGCTGCTT